CTGCAGTGAAATGAATCTCTATTACCTTAGTCCCAAGGAAGGACCCAGTTTGTCATTGATGCGACTGTCATGTGTTGTACTTACTGGCTGCTTTGTTCCTGCAGCTCAGAGCAGAGGGGACCATGGAGGACGAGGACGAAAGTGACAGCAGGTAATGGCATTACAGACCCAGCAGTGATCCCAGGCGCCACCCTCACTGCACTGTCTTTGCCAGAGCCACCATGTGGCCCTTGTCAAAATCTGATTTTCCTTCACCTGGAAAGGCTGGGCTTCTCCAAACCTCACCCCCAGCCCTTGGACCCCTCTGATCTCACTTCCTGTAGGCAGAGGGCCAGGTAGCACGGGTCGGCGAGGCCTCCACCGCCTAACCAGCTCTCCACCTCTCTCTGGCAGGGTGTCTAGCCCTGCTGGCCCCAGCAGCTCAAAGCCCCGGCGCTCCTTCCTCTCGAGGGTGATCAGGGCGGCACTGCCTCTGCAGCTGCTCCTGTTGCTGCTGCTCTTGCTGGCCTGCCTGCTGCCTGCCTCTGAAGAGGACTACAGCTGCACCCAGGCCAACAACTTCGCCCGCTCCTTCTACCCCATGCTGAGCTACACCAACGGGCCGCCCCCCACATAGTGGGCTCGGCGGGTAGCGGTGCCGCGCAGCACCACCGGCCTGTCTGCCACAGACCAATCTGCCAGTGACTCGTGTTGCAAGGCCAGGGATCTGGTGCAGACGCCTCGCTGTGGGATTGCCTGGGGCGGGGAACGCGGCAGCAGCTGCCCTGGGCATTCTGGCACCGCTGGCTGACTGGCTGAGGAGACTCCGGGAAGGGCCGTTTCCCGAAGGGAAAAAACGGCGTTTGCCCCATTATCTATATATCTATAGATCTATAGATATATATTAAAGACACAAACGGATTCAGCCTTAGCAATGGTTCAGAAACTCACACCCCCTGAGCTCTGACGGGGCCAATCAGTTTAAAGGGTTAGTATGAGTTTCCTCCAGTCAGCTAGCAAGTATGAGCTACTGGTCACAAGCCAAAATGTTCCGTTCAGTACCCAGGCTTGCTCTTTTATATTGCTCTAAATTTTTAAAGAAATTTTATTGCATGGTCATGGTTACTTGTGCATATTTTTTAACAATGCTGAATCTGTACAAATAATGTAAACTTTGATTTTTTAAAAAAACATTTTAGCTCAAGCTTTTGACTAAATGCCAAACTACAGACTTGATAGGGATGTTTTTGTAAGGTAATTTTATAAGACTTTTCACATTAAAAGACACATTTCGGGTTTGGTTGAATTGTTTGGTACAAAAACTTGAAGCTATTTGTGGTATGTACAACTCAGATGTTTCTCATTAAAACACAAAATTAGCCAAAGTGTCGAACTGGATCATCACTGCAAAGTGGATCGATGGCACACTCAAATTTTCCAGAGAACAAATTCGGAGCTCTTCTATCACTGCACAGAATTAAGAGGTAGAAGCCTCAATCCCTCCCTAGACGGGTGTCCCTTAAGTGTGTGTGCAGGACTCGGCCTGTGATCCAACTGCGGTCCAGGCATGGGGGCAGCACCGCAGGAAGGTGGATGTGACAACCAATTCCAGCCAATTTTCCCCTTGCCCCAGCCCTTATCTGGAATGAATTATAGGTTGAGAGTCCCTTATCCAAAAGGCTCGGGACTAGAAGTGTTTGGGACTGGGGGCTTTTTTTTTTTTTTGGTTTTAGGAGTATCTACCTATACACAACAAGAGATCTAGGGGTTGGACCCAAGTCTACATAAGAACTCGTCCATGTCATGTATACCTCATACACAGTCTGAACTATGCAAATTTCATGGTGTGGAATTTTCCAATTGTGTCCTGTCGGCCCTCAAAAAGTTTTTGGATTTAGGGCTAGGGATGTAGCCCAGTGGTGCATCGGTTGCCCAGCACATGTGAAGGAGGGTTTGATTCCCTGTTGACAGGGGGTAGAGGTTTAGGTTTTGGAGCCTTTTGGATGAAGGTGTTCAACCTGGGGAAGGTAATCCAGTGTCTTAACAGATATTACAGGTAAAACTACCTATTTTCCACAGAAATTCCATCACCAGTGTTGTTGACTTCCACCTAAACGAGGTAAACCTTAGCATTTCACCCCCCTGGATTTGGGAGTTATGGACCCAGTCCTTACCTGCATCCCTGGCACTTGGAAGCCACAGTGATGGAAACAGTCCAGTCCCCTCCTCTACAAAGCACCTACCTTGGGAGGCAGGCCAGTGAAGCCAAGTGGTATCTGAAGCCCACACTTTCCAAGCTGGGGTTCCTCGGAGTGGACATCACAAGGCCCATGCACTAAGCTAGCACCTCCACAGCCAAGGGACCACTGGAAGAGACTGTCTTCACTTTACCTTTGGTATTTTAAGTGGTCAGGTTCTTTAATAGATATGGAGAGAAAAGTGGAGTTCAAAATATTTTAACTCTTCAAAATAAATTACAGTAATCCCAGAGGCACAATATAAGTGACAATGTCACAGCTTTTCCCTTAAACCACTGAGTTTCTTGGAGGGTCCCCAGCCACTGTAGCCTGGGGTAAATGGCAGTCTCTCAGACTTTCTGTGGGCTATACAGCCACAGGGCAATTCAAGGTGCTGGCTGTGTTTCAGAGCCTAATTATGTAGACCAGCTGCGGGCACCTCCAACATAGATGATGAAAGTTGCATTTACCCCCAGACCCGGGGAATCCTGCTGCTGCAATCCTCCCCCAAAACCTGTGTGTCCCCCAAAACCTTGTACCAGTTAATCTGTGTTTTGCATCATCACAAATGCATCTTCCCTTCCCCACTTGTGAGGGGAAATTTCAAAGGAGCATTGACACAGAGATAACACCAGTTTGAATTACTTTTCTCCCCACCTTGGAAGGTATCCTACCGGACTCAAGTCTACCCAGATGACTGATGTAAGGCACACCAAGACTTTCACCTTTGTGGGGTGCATTTTACTCATTCACACAGTACCTGCAGTCATAAAGCACAAGAGATTAGATGACTAAGGATTAAATTGTTCCTTTTTAGGAAGGCTCCGCTGAAGGCAGAGGTTAACTCTTGATGGCATGCCAGCATTTGTGTTAGGTGCCTTTTCCTAGGAATTTATCATTAAGTTCCTAAAGGACTCTGTAAACCCACAGTGGGATAGAATTCACGGAATACAGACACTCGTTAGTCTAATTGCTGTAAGCTCTTACGAAAAGGTTTATTTAATTTATATTACATTAAACCTCTCTGCAACAGTTCATAGACATCAAAGAGACACAGTAAGAAAATGTACTACCCAGAAGGATGGAAAGCAAGCCTCAAATCCGCTTCCATACATTTCATAAAAGGTCCACATTTAAAAGTCTATGAAGGGTAGACAACAGATTTTTCTAATGGTACAAAGCATCTGTCTGGGGGGAAAAAAAGGAAAGCAAAAAAATGACAAAGTATAGCCAACAATAGGTTCTGAAGTACCCAGGACCACTGAATAATCAAGTTACAGGACCAATTATTTACGGCATTTAGACAGAAAAATCCAACCTTAATGGTAGGGTTACCAGGAACTGTTCTAGAGTAGCACTGAACTTTTGCCCTTCACATAGAGGAAACCCACTATCAAACAGGAGCAGCTGGCCCTACAAGGTAAGTAGGATCCTTGGGATTAAAAATAAAATTCTTGATTTTAAAGCAATAAAATCAAGTATCACCGAGACAGTGCACATCAAGCTGCCACTGGAGCCAACATCCCAGTGAGTTTGAGAGCCATAAAGAAGAAATGCATATGTTTTCATGCTGTGGTATACCAGACTCCACAAGAAAGCATCGGTGCATAAGGGATGTGAGAAATTTCACCTGGATAAGTTTCCTAGGAAAATACTGGGCTTGGGTGGATTTAGGAAAAGCAGTAACACATAAGTAGCAGGTAATGGCAGTACCCCTAGCTTCCGAGCCCAGCCTGGGAGGACAGGAGCATAACTGATTTTTTTTTTTCTGCCCATCCTTGCTGCTCCTCTGTAAAGATTCAGGCAACCCCATCTAAGCTGAGAAGGTAGGGTCTACAGGTACAGCAGGAGGCGACCATACCAAGCCAGTGCTCCACATATGGGCCCAGCCACAGTTCTGCACCAGGAGCCATGCTGGCCAGGCAAAAATTGAATTCAGGCCCAGCCTTGGTCATCAGTAGTTTTATGACCTGGAGCAGGTCAGTTTGCCCCTCTGGACTTTAACTTGCAGACTATAAAAGATGGAATGGAACGTCTATGTTGGGGTCACATGTTCTTACTGTATCTGTAGGAATATTTTGGAAATGAGGAGTTTGGGGTATCACAGGTAGGCTCCACTTCATTTAAAAAGGGGGAGGTGAAGAATACAAAAACATTAAAAGCACAGTAGAAAACAAAAACAATTGGTGTAATTAAATTTTTATTTTTGTAGTGCTAGGGATGGAACCCAGGGTCTTACACATGCCAGGTAAGAGTTCTACCACTGAGCCACATCCCCAGCTCTTGAAGATTTTTAACTATGTGGATTGTGTGACTGTGTTCAGCACTGGACTGGGACTGCCTGTGTTTAGCTCTGTCACTTGTTCCTGTGACCATGAACAAGTCTGCTCAGACTCTCCAGCTTCCACAGTTAGAAAGTTGGAGTAAATCATTATGAGGATTACATGTGAAAGCGTGTGGCAGTGAGAACTCTGGCACACAGGGTTCATGAATACTGTACTTTAATGCTAAATGTTACTCTCTCTTTACATAGTCTCATTGTTTTGTTTTGGTATCAAACTCAGGACATTGCGTTTGTGGGGCAGGCACGGTGCCACTGAGCTAAATCCCCAGGCCTGGCCTCGTTGTATTTTTTAAAAAGTTTTAGTAGCTTAAAGAACTGTGTCAATGGTGGCCCACACCTGTAATCCCAGTATTCTGGGGGGCTGAGGCAAGAGGATTGCAAGTTCCAGGCTAGGGAACTTGTGACTTAGTAAGATCCTGTCTCAATGTAAAAAGGGCTTGGGATGTAGCACAGTGTGAAGACCGCAGGTTCAATCCCCATTACCACCAAAACAAAACAAACCAAATCTCATTAAATAACAATGCAATCCCTTCAGATGGAAAGAGAAACCAACACTATTTTCATGCACTAGAAAAGTGCTTTTGGCCGGGGATTTAGCTCAGCGTTTCGGTGGCCTGCCTTGCAAGCACAAAGACCTGCGTTCAATCCCCGGTACCAAAAAAAAAAAAAAAGAAAGAAAAGTGCTTTGACCTAGCATGTGCACGCTATTTGTGTATTATATATTACATATATCTGTGGCTCTGATTTTTTTATAAAGTAACTGGCCTTCCTGCTGAGCTAGCAGGTGAAGTAATCCGGATAAAGACTGTCCACCTGCAAAGCCCTGTGATGCCGCACTGTTTTGTTTTCAGTATGGTTAAGGCTCCCCGGATTTGTTATTGAGCTGAGAGCTCTGTCTTGTGTCCCCACCTCGGGGTTACTTTTGGGTTGAATCCTTTGTAGTTACCCCGGGGTGGGACAAGCCTGGAGATAGGCAAAGGCTGTGCGAACACAGGAAGGTTCAGTTAGAAAACACGCTGTGAAAACCCATCATGGCCCTCCTGGGACTGCCCCAGCGTCCTCTCTAGGGGCAGCCAGTTGCTCCCAAGAATCAGAGGGAACGCTCTGTGTTGGAGATGCTCCATGGGAATCATTTTATTTAAAATCTGTATGACCCTGTATTCATCACTCATGATTTTGGAGGTTAGGCCAAATCACATTTATCTCCTACAAGTAATTTTGTCTTATCAGGACAGAGCAGAGGAGTCCTGCCATGCCAGTCTAAGGCAAAGCTATCCCATATACGGCAAATGTAGTCTGGTTTTCATTCAGAATTTTAAGTACTGTTCACCGTTTACCACCAGCTCCTATTTGCCCTATTTAATTCCTTTTAAAAACAGTGAGATCTGTGCTTAGCTGTGGGCAAACTCCTGCCCCCGAGGAACATGGACTCTTGGAGGAGGGGAAACTCCCAAACAGAAGCATTTAAAAGCAAACCCTAGGAACTAAAGAGAAGTGGGTGGCCTTTGAAATGCACACAGAGGATTTTTTCCCAACACAAATACAGGAGCCTGACATAAAAGTGTCGCCTTGCTGGACGTACTTGGAGCAGATGGGGACGGATTCAAAACACCTCATCCAAAGGGGGAAAGGCCTAGGAGATTCAACACAACACTTTCAGAAAGCAGAGCGTGTTATCTTCAACCCTTGCCTGCCCCAGACCCCAGCCAATAACCAACAGCCTCTACCCAGCAGGCTCTCGGCTTGGACAGACCTGGCCCAAGCAGAAATGACGGGAAGCGTTACAACCCCCCTGGGCTAAACCCAAATGCTGTGAAACCAACCCCCGAAGCAGGCAGGAGACTGTGTGGCTACTGCAGTGCCCCCTGGAGGGGTTTCGTGGGGACGGGACACGCGCTCCTCTGGGGGTGTGCAGGATGGCACCAAAGGGGCTTGGCCCCTACGTCCCATCTGGCACCTTCTTTAGGGATCAAAACGCAACCTAGGCAGGGCGTGGTGGTGCATGTCCTTCATCTCGGCAGGGGGAACTCAGGTTCTGCCTGGGTGATTCAGCAAGACCCTGTCTCAAAATTTTAAAAAGTCAGTAAGGGATGCCTGAACATACAGTTCAGTGTTAGAGCACTTGCCCAACACGTGCAAATGCCCAGGTTCAGTCCCCAGTATGGGGTAAAAAGAAAAAAAATTTTAATTCACTCCATTAGAACTAAGCAATGGCTGGGACTTCAGTCTGATGTTTTGTTTGTAGTCTCTTGTAAAGACACAATTAATAGAACTTCAAGGCTGTCACCTTTGCATCCCACTTCCTACTCTCCAGCCTCCAGCCCCTCTGCTAACGATGAGAGATTCTAGCTTGGCCAGAAAGAAAGAAAACTGGCCTCTGGATAGCACGGATTCCCTGCTTCCTATTAAATCAGTAAATCAGCTTGAGTTTTCCGTACCACGTCTCTCTATGGCTGTGACGCCGCCTCACTAAGAATGGTTTCAAACTCCTCAACATCAGTGTCCTTGGGCTCGATGTCCAAGGGTTTATGAAGCAGCTCAGTCCAACTTCTAGTATCAAAACCAAGAATTATTCAAGTTCTCTCTAGCAGACTCTATTCCCTAATAGTTACCTTTAATCTTTCCAATGACTTAGTAGATACAGGATTTGCTAGCCAAAATAAACATTTTCAAAAAGAAAATATTTCATACCATATCACAAGGTAATTTTTAAAAGCATTACCACAAAAATCAACTTTTAAATCACCCACTTCCAAAGTACAACTGTTAAATATGTTATGCATTTGCAGTGTTCCCAAAAAATTTGTCTGAAAATTTCAGCTTTTAAAAAGTGAGTAAAAAATACCGTTTCAGAGGTGCTTTATCTTTGCTTCCTATTTTTGTTCTCAGATTACAAAGTTTTTATTGTTTCTATTTCACCCAGCCCACCATATAAATGTTCTGATAAGAAAATATTTTAAGAGCTCCCTGGGGTTTAAAAAAATTCTTTTTTGCCATAAATAATTACCTCTGACTCTCTTTTGGGGGAAGCGTTCACAGACTCAGCTTCCTGAGTCTAACGATGGATGGCCTTGCACTGCGATGTGCCGGTAGTGTCTCTCCGTAAAACACCCACATCCACAGCCCAAATATCTCCCTGGGTGGCTGATGTGGCAGCTGTGGCTGCTACGTCTGCTATGCAGACTGGAAAGTGCCCTCCCAAGACCCTGGGGAGGCACTGTGACTGTGACCCACACCAGAGAGAACCTGCCCCCTCCAACCCAGGCCCTTCTGTAGCACACAGCTAGGGACCCTGGGGCAACAGAGTTTTAAGAAGGCCAAACTCGAGGAGCACAGAGATTTAAATCTCCCACAACCCTTGGTGGAAGTGATCACGCGCATCACATAGACACGTGCCCCCCAAAATGAGCAAGCGCTACGAATGCGAATCAAGAGGGATGAATGAGCGTAGACAGCGGCAAGGCCTGAGGAGAACGCGGCCCACATCCCAGCTTGACCACTGTCCTGGTCTTTGACAAAATGCTGTCACAGGACACCAGTCCTCACAGGCCTGTGAGGCAGTATCTGGCCCTCCTCCGTGTCTGTCACTGTGGGTTTCAACCCGACAATCACATGGCCCAGAAGACAACACACAAAGGTCAGTTCTAAGAGAAGTAGAGATGGCCCAGGCAGGGCTAGTCCGCCTCCCAGGGACTGTCCTATTCCCTGCCCTCTCTAATTTGCAACCCAAGTCCGACTGCCACCACTCATCCTGAAATCCTTAAGGCTTTGAAAGGGGTGGGAAGGGAAGGAAAGTGAGACCGGAGCCACACTGACACTCCATGAAGCCATGCAGGACGGAACCTGGCACGAGGAACACTGTGACACTCTCACCGTGACCTGCAGGAAAGGAGCGGGGGAGACGACGCACGGCGGAGCTGCCACAGCCAAGGAGGGGCTCGGTGAAGGGGATGAGACCAGGCTCAGACCTGCGGGAGTCCACACTTCCACTGTGCTCGCCTCTGTGGGGCCGGGCGTCACTGAGACTGTGGGTCCTGGGAGACCTCCTTGCTCTTACTGTCCTCTGCCGAGCTGCCCTCGGAGCCCGGGACCGAAGACTTGTACCCGCGAAGCGTGTGCGCGTTCAGCATCTCCAGCAGCAGATCGTACACTGGGACCACGTTTCTGCACTTCATGCTGAGCAGATGTTCCATGCCCTTGTTACTATGGGGACAGAAAAGGTGCCGAGAGTCTTTCCCTGAGGCAGCCGCAGGAGTGCTGACGTCTTCCCGGTTCTCCAGAGCACAGCCAGTCCGCGCCCACCCACACCTACTCCACTTCCCAGCCCGCTGTTCCGCAGCACCTGAATCCCGTCCTCAGTCGTTCAGATTCCAGGGCAAAACCTACGTCCTCCTGACGCCTGTGTCCTGACCCACCCACAGTGGCCTGGCACGGAGGACCCTCCGTTCTCATTATTTGTGGAAGTTACTTCCAGTGAAGCCGCTGCAGACACTGAATTAGCAAATCCTGAATCATGGCCTCTAGCAGAAATATATCGTAGTTCGGTTCCTCTAAGACTGTTCACAACACTTTGATCCACCAATCTATGCCCAACCCTGTGTGTGTTTCTGTACAAAATCATCTTGCTAAATATATATTGTAGATTCATTAACAATGAGCTCATGGCCAACAGTGCTGTAACTTATCCCTGAAAGAAACTTATCCAAGACATGTGTCGCCTCTGAAAGGCCCGTCTCAGCTTCTGTGCACTTAGGAACCCGAGAGAGCATTTCAGCACTGCACTCAGGAGCTTTTCTGAACGGGGAAATTACAAAAAATAAAAACATGAAGCAGGGCTCTAGTGTAAAGGACACACAGAGAGCTGAAACAGGATGGCAGACATCTCTTTGTTCGGCCGCGGCTGGGAATGTGCACAGTGAGTGACACAAGGTTTCTGTCCTGGGCCAGGGATGCAGCTCAGTGGTTCTGCCGCCTGCCTCGCAAGCTCAAGGTCCCGAGTTGGGTCCCCAGTACCAAAAAAAAGATTCTGTCCCTCTGAGCATGACCTCAAAAGCGCCATGGGTACTGGTTTTGGAGTTACAAATAAATTTTATCAAGTAGGTAAGCTCACAAGAATGGACCAACTCTGTGTGTGCTGCAGAGGACTGCAGGCGGTGTGGTCATCAAGGAGGAAAAGGGACAGAGGACTTACCACTTCTTCCCCTGTGTTTAAACCCTCAACGTGCACATCACCCTTCCCTGGGGAGCTTTACAACCCCCGCACATGCATCTCCCCTCCTGGGTCAGGCCACTGTGCCGGCAGCAACCCCCAATTTCTGCTTCCTGACGTGGGATGTGCTCCACCCACAGCCTCGCCTTCCTAACCCTGTTGGGAATTCTTAGGTCTTATCCTTACTGGTCTGACATCACCAGAGGAAACAACAAATTTGAGGACAGGTTTTCTGTACGTCCCCGAATCACCAGCCCAAGGGTGACCAACCTAGGGGAGCACTCAGCCATTCATCAAAACCAAGCATGACTTCGGCCCTGGGTGGTGTATGGAGGGATGGCAGTGCATTTAGGGAAGAAACTACCCCTTTAAGGGGACCTAGCTACCAAAAATCAGAAGAGCCACCCCAGGACACCGTGAAAACCCTATAAAATCCCACATGACAATTCGCTCAGTGTCCACTCTGTGCCAACCTTTGGTTACAGGTGTGTAAACTGAGGACACCTCTCATTCTTTTCAGGAGCTCATTTTCCCGTAAAGGCGACCACTCTAACATCCACCTCAAATCCGCAAACACTTTGCCCAAGCTCTGAGCAGACACCACCCTGGCCCCCAGTGGAAGAGCTGCCACAAGTCTGTACCTGATGTGCCTGACGTGAGACAGAAGCATCAAGAGATTGGCCAGGCGGATGGACTGCTGCTGGGAGGAGATGCCGCTCTTGGCGATCACCCAGACCAGGGCGTCTGTCACCGCGTTGAGCAGGTGAGTCAGCTTCCGGCTGCTCTCTACCTCCTGGGTCGCCGCAGCCAGAGGGTACATACCTGGACAGAGCACGAGAGCCCCGAGTCACTGCTATGGGAAAGGAAACCGACGCAGTGTGCCCGGCAGTTGAGCATGCCCACCTTCTCCGGGACGGGGGCCACACTCAGCTCAGCTGTTCTGACTTCGGCACCCGTGGTGAGGTCTTACGAGCGAGGCTCTAGCTCTGAGGGGCTTCTGCTCAAGACTCAGCCCCACCACTGAGCCGCAAGGAAAGCCTGGCTGAATGCTGGGCAGATGAACGACCTCTCACATGCCCACCAGGGCAGAACTGTGGCCATGCCAAAGGAATAGGAGTATGGGTGTGAACGGAGGAACTCCACCCTTAGCCCAAGGGGTCCTCAGCTGTGGGGAGTTTAACTGACGTGGATGCTCTGACAGTTCCCCGATCCACCCGTGTCCACCACCCTGCCCTGCGCTGTTTAATTCTCCTCTGACTCTAGGATCTGAGTCTGTGATTGCGTAATAAAATAACAGCTCAGATGAATTTCCTCCTCTCACCCCTTGGAAGCCCTACTCCCCGAGTCATTTATACAACTGGCTCTTCTTCCAGGCTTTAAATTCCACAGTAGGAATAAATAAATATGTGAGATCAACCAGGGAGCTGTGTTTGACCGTCATGAGAATGAAGGGTGGCTGGTGCTCCGTCAGCCACAGATTTTGTTCGGGCGGTTTTTGCTGTTTTTATTGGCATTTTCAGTTTGACGAAGTTCAACTCAGTTATGGCAAGGGGCACATAGAAGCAATAGTTCCTAGCGCTTTGCCACATCCGAGGGGCCCTCCACAGCCTCCTGTAACGTAGACTCAAAATACAGCAGTCCTACACTGCCTTCCACCCCATCCGCTCACTGCACTTCCCACTGGGCCCCCCACAGCCCCCAGGAGTGACCGTCTCTCCTGTGCAGTGGGAACAAGGGTTCCCCAGGACCCAGTGCATTCCCTGAGCTTCCTCCACACCGCAATCACCTGGCGCAGCGGCGGAGGGACTCGGTCGTCTCCCTGCTCCGTCACACACTTCACCTGGAATCCCACTTCCAACACCTCACCAGGCGACAGGCTGACACAGCTCTGTCTCCCGGTGCAGAACTCTCTCCTCCGCTCTCCATCTTTCCTTCTCTTCCTACTTATATCCGTTTTCCTTGTAGATCACAGCCTGGCCATGGACTTTCTTGCAGAAGCTCCCCTTGACCTCCCTACCACCACATCTGGGAAGAGGTTTGAGTTCTTTCCTGAAACTCCACAGCTGGAAGTCTCCACGGCCCCAGAGCCGCCCTGCCACCCTCAGCACGCTTGGAGCACCCAGACCCCACGTGTGTGTCCTGAATGCTCCTGTAGGTGTCTAGTGTGATGCCTGGCATGGAGAAACATGAAGAATTAGACGAATTCTTTCAAACTTTCACAACTTTTTAACCAGTCACACCATCAAAACTGAAATTTTAGGTATGCACAGGAAATTACTAACTAAAAATACAAATTATGCCAGGTGCACACCTATAAACCCAGCATTCAGGAGGCTGAGGCAAGAGGTTTGCTGTGAGTTCAAGGCCAGCCTCGGTTATACAGTGAGTTCAGGGCCAGCCTGGACTACACAACCCAGACCTTATCGCAAAAAAAAAAAAAAAAAAAAAAAAAAAAAAAAAAAGTTGCTTTTTTTTTCCCCCAAACACAGGGTCTTGCTATGTACTCCAAGAGTGACTCTGAACTCACTATGTAGCCCAGGCTGGTCATGAACTCAAAGGCACCCTCCCTGCCTCATCCTCCTGAGTACTGGGATTATAGGTGTGCACCCCAGCGCCCAGCAAAATTAAATTGCTTTAAGCTTACTTTGCCTAAAATTAACCCTGGCTACATAAACCAGTGCTTTTCTTTTAACTGACAACCTATTCTGCTATATGACACGTATTCTAAGAACTTCTACTGCCATCAGAAAATATTATGTCTTCAGGTTCTAAAAATAAAAACAAAAGTATGTACTTTTACATATCTCATTCATAGTGACAAAAATTGAAATTATAAAAATAAATACTTGGCTGGTAATCAAATGTCCATAGCACTGACTCATAGTTGCCTAAAAGTGGAAGCAGGCCGAATAGCCATCAGCCAATGAATGAAAAAACAAAATATGATCTATCTGCTCAATGGAATATTATTCAGCCATAAAAAGGAATTAGAAAATGTGAGAAAAATGAAAAGATGGAAATAAAGTGTTTGTAAATGGGGAGGGGAGGAGGGGGTGAAGGGAGGGCAGGGACAAGGGGAAAAAATGAGAACCAAGACCTGTCATGTAAAGGTACAAGATCCCAGTAATGAATGTAACTGTACCGTATACCTAGAATGTACCAATAAACTCAATGAGAGACAAAACGAATTAGAGGAGCTGGAGGGATCGCTCGATGGTAGAGGGGTTGTCTAGCATGCACGAAGCCCTGGGTTCAAGCCAGGGCATACACATGCCCATGAAGCTAAGTTAGTACTGAGAGGTGCTACAACACAGATGAACCTTAAAAATACTCTGCTCTGAAATCAGTCACAAAAGACCACATTTCATTTCATCCTACATCTAGAATAGGCAAACTGGAGACACAGGAAGTAGATGAATAGTTGCCTCAGGGTGTAGGCTGGATGGGAGTGGAGATGGATATAAGACTTCTTTTGGGGTGATAAACATGTTCTAAAATTATTTTCAGGGCCGGAGATTTAGCTCAGTGGTTCCATCACCTGCCTCGCAAGCGCAGGATCCCAAGTTCAATCCCCGGTACCAAAAAAAAATTATTTTTATATTGATTACACCAAATATAGTGAATATATTTTGAAAATACTGCATTGTATGCTTTAAGTGGGTGAGTTGTACAGTATATGAATTATGTGCAGTTGTTTTTAAGATAAAAATAATGCCTTGGAACCAAAATGACAGAAACACGGATGCCCCTTAGCAGCATGAGAGCCAGCTCTGTTGAGAGAACGGGCACTGGCTGGTAGGCCGCCAGCTCACAGACCAGCACCACTGCCAGGGATGACTGGATCCTCCACACAGGCCCAGAGCTCACAGCCGGCAAGCAGTGTGAGAGCAGGACCTGCCACGTTCGTTTTCTCTGTGGGGGAAACGTAAATACGAAAAGTCTGAACATTATAAAATTACCCCAGGAAGGAACTGGGCTGAAGAATTCCACCCTACTGCTGGTCAGGAGTGTCCGCTCCTGCTCTTCGGGCAATCACACGCCCTCTCACTGCCCCACACGTGTGACAGAGTGACGGCTAAGAGCCGGGTGCAGGCAGGGGCAGCGGACAAGGCACAGAGCCCCGACAGCCAGACACACGACAAAAATCAACCTACTCCTACCTCCATAGGTAGAGATATCAGGGTTCTTTGTAGAACAAAGTTAAATAAATTACATCTCAAACTATAGAACTCTAGTAAAAAAGATAAGATGTTGGTGCAATGCCCCACACGTACCAAAGAAGGTAAAATAAAACCAAGGACACAGTCCCCCTACCTTACTGCCTGGGAACAGCTGTGTGCTGCTATCAGTACCTGATGGCATTCGGAGAAACACAAACGCCAAGATTGTCACGGGCTCCCTGTTCAAAGCTTTCTTGGCTGAAGTCAAATGAAACAAGTGTTTAATTAAAATTCCAATTACTGACCATAGAAAAAGTTTCCTGGCTTTTGCGAGAGAACGCCAGGGACAGGATATATGTGCTGGTCTAATGAAATAGTACTGCCTGATTTTGACCCTCTATTTCCCTTCATTTAATGAAAGTTCTAACTGGGCATGGTGGCACACATCTGTAATCCCAGCTGCCTCAGAAACTGAGGCAGGAAGATTGCAAGGTTCAGGGCAGCCCAGGGAATTTAGCTAATCTTCTGTCTCAAAGTTTAAAAAAAAAAAAGTGCTGGGGTATAGTTCAGTGCCAAAACCCTGGGTTCAATCTTCAGTGCCACACAAAACAAAACCAACAGGTTTTATCCTTTTTAAATCATAAAACTGTTTTGATAAATAGACCTGTTCTTAATTTAAAGTATTTTTAAAGACTGATAGCAACTACTCACAGGTCAATTCCCTTCTTTCCTAGATTCAGTACTCGCTAATTCGGCAGGAGGGTGATCAGTCTTCAGCCTCCTCCATGGAAGGATGATGTCTAGACTCCTAACCTGTATGTGTGGTCAACTACACCACTCGCATCCTGAACTCACAGAATACTTGAACACCTTAAGGGGTTGGTAAAGGCAACATATTCTGTTGTCTGCACACCCAGAGGCACATCAAAGGCTGAATATTCCAGCCCCTCATCCTGTCCACATGGTGGGAAGGGTCAACACAGAAAAAATTGAAAACCCCCACCCTCCCATAGAGAGGAAGATGTGCCCCTTCCACCGAAGCCCAGAAAGGACCAGACCCTCAATTGTCTGAGGATGTATCTCTATTCTAGAACAAAAGTACTGTATCTTTTTTTTTTTTCTTTTTTTGAGACAGTAGTTCAGGCTGGTCTTGAACTCACTATGTAGCCCAGGCTGGCCTCAAACTCTCAGGAATCATCCTGCCTCAGCCTCCTGAGTGCTGGGATTACAGGTGTGCGCCACCACACCTGGCTGTTTCATTTTTGACATCCTTAGTACTTAGAGGTCACTGACATATACCAAGATCTGAGTTGAAATTTAGTTGGATAAAGCTTATTTTCATTTCACTTGATACTCACTATCAACAGAGACATACAACCCAGAAATATGCAGTTATTTCTAACATAACTACTGACAAACCATGACCTGGCTGCCTGGTGTGCTAATACCAGGGCATCCCCCGCTGAAAGACGAAATCCCAACTGAGCGTGTCTTACCGTCAGGGAAACAGAGGCCTGGCTGAGCTGGAGAGGCATAGGCAGCCCAGCAGCCGCCAAAGAGCAGCCCCTTGGAGACAGGACCCGGAATGTCCTTAGCCTCTGACTTGAGATCTACCCTATTTCTCCTTCCCCCAGGGCCTCCACCCTGTGGTGCACTCCACTCCCTGATTGGTGGTGTATCTTTTCTGTTCAGCCTACAACCTTTTTCTCTTTTCCTGTTTGTTCTCATATTGTTTACAGAGTTATTGAGGTACAACCTATAGCCCTCACATATTTAATGTATCACAACTGGATACATTTTAAGTAAGCATGACTCTCTGTAGGCAGGTTGGAAACATGAGCAAAAAACATTGACTTTTCTTCCACAATGACAAATGTTCTGTCTGGACATTTCCTATTTGCACATCAACTCGATGTAAGCTGGGCCCTTTTTATTTTGTAAGAGCCACTCAGAGTATGTCCTGTCACCGGTCCTCAAAGGGACAGCAGAAATCAAGGATAAACATTTACAAATTCTTTTAGCAACTGAGAATTTAAAAACAGCTGAATGTAATAGTGGTAATGTAATAATATAAACCGGGGCTGATATTTTGCACTTATTTTTGCAATTATTTATTTTTATTACATTTTATAAAAGTAGCTATCTTGGGCCAGGTGTGGTGGCACACGTCTATAATCCTAGCACTCAGGAGGCTGAGACAGGAGGATTGCCACAAGTTCAAGGCCAGCCTGAACTGACCAGCCTGAACTGGCCAGCCTCAAACAGCAAGACCCTGTTTCAAAAAACAAATCAACGACAACCAAAAAAGCAGCTGTGCTGGATTAGATGTGTAGCTCAGTGATTGCCAAGCATGCACATACCCTTGGGTTCAATTCCCAGCAGCATCGGTGGGGAAAAAAGAAAAAAAAAAAGTAGTTGTTTGTAATAAATTGGATATTTAAAAAGAAGCTTCCCTACTGACTGAGAAACACCACTCACTAAAACTAGTGCGGACGTACAAGAGTCTGTGTGGGAGCGAATGAGAAGAGGCTGGGGGAGGGGCGGAGGGGCGGGGATGGACAGGAGGCGGCTTGGGACCTGGGAATGCCCAAGTTCTGCACTGAATTTGGGCTTTAGGAGCAGCTGCTTTGGCTACTTTGAAAGCCGCCAGTAAACCGTGATCTGAAATGCGTACAAAACAATGCATCTCTATTTACTGCAATATTTCTTATAATGATAAAATTTAAATGAACTGGATATTAAAGGCCCATCAATAGAGAAACGGCTGAACAACTTAGCATAATGCCTTCACCTCAAAGACTGAATTAGAGGTAGGGGGCCAAGGATTTAGCTCAGTGGTTCCACTGCCTGCCTCGCAAGTGCAAGGACCCGAGTTCAATCCCTGGTACTAAAAACAAAGGACAAAGGTTGAATTAGATCTTTGTTGGCTTGAAGGAATTTCACAGCATTATGAAAAGTAAAAAAGGAAAAAACAAATATATTTGTATGTAGTGTCCTAATTTTTTTATATTTTCCTAATTTTTAAAAAAGGAAAAAAAAAAGCCTGTGTGTAATTAAAGGCAAAGTATTTTGCTTTTTGTCGTTGTTCAGGTGGTGCCAGGGGTAAAACAATAAAAATTGTTTGTTTTAAGCAATTATAGGAGGTTGGATGGAAGAAGGTGTGATGTCTACCATCCAGCTGTTAAGATTGGTTACTTTGTTTTGGGTGGGAGGGTTAAGAGAAATAAAAAGAAGTCTCTTGCAAAGCATCCACAATTGTGAATGTAACACGCTATACTGTTTGCGTATACACAGTGGCACATGTGTCTTGGATTTGTGTCACATAATATACAGGGGATACCTAGGAAAGTCAAATTAGAGAAGCAAAGATTTACTTTGGCTCGTGGTTTCAGAGATTTTAGTTCACGGTCAGCTGGCTCCATTACTCTTAGGCCTGAGGTAAGGCAGAAACGCCATGGCTCAAAGGCGTGGAGGAGGAAAGCCGCTCACCTCAGGGCAGCCAGAAGGCGGGGAGAGAGCAGTGAGCACAGACCCAGAGAGAGGGCCCACAGGACAAAACCCAGCCTGCAAAGCCACACCCCCAGGGACCGGCCTCCTCCGAGGCCTCCTCCGAGGCCGTGCCTCCCAGTAAGCCCATTCACTGAGGAACTATCCATGGGTTATTCAACTTGATTAAATTAGGGCACTCGTGATGCAGCCACTTCCCAAAGAGCCATGGGTATTTGGGGACACTTCCTACTACTCAAACCACAACCGTGTGCATGCAGCCAGCTCTCTGTAGCCAAGGGTTCCACACGCACAGATCCAATTCACTTTGATTTTCTTTTGTATCAGAAATATCCAGAAAAAACACGGCCATCTGTACTCAACATATATAAACGTTTTTGGTGATTATTCTTTAAATAATACAATGTAGCAACTATATGTACGGTGTTTACAGTGTTTTAAGTATGGGAAGCAATCTAGAAAGGGTTATGAGAGGGTACACGTAGGGTGTATACGGTACCACACCATATTACAGAGGACATGAGCATCTCCGGATGTTGGTATTCGGAGCCCTAGGACCAACACCCCAGAGATAGGAAAGGGCAACTGGAGGGGAGGGAGAGCCAAGAGGGAGAGAAACAGAGAGGGACGCGTTAGCTGTGATAACTGAAGTTATGGTGGTTGTCTTGAAAAAAGGTATTCCTAGTCATTTCTGAGTTCTTCCTTTGTCAGTTCTTTTAAACGTTCAAAAAGGCCAGGTATTATTTATATAGTAAGAAAAAAACGTTCTTATTTCCCAGACACCTTCCTTCCATCCCATTTCTGAAATTAGGTCCCTTCCTCAGGCTCCTGATATATCTGAAGGACTCGGGCCTCAGCTGCTCCCTGTCCCGTCAGCCCTCTGAGTGAAAGTGGGGTGACTTTTCCCAAGTGCTTTTCTGTGCACAACACCCCCCGCCCCGTCTGAACCTCTGCTGTGTCTGCTCTGTGCCCAAAGCAGCCACTTACAACCGTCGGTGCTGCCCGTCACCGCTGCCATTCCCCTCCGTCTCCCCAAGACTCCGAACACCGCGCCTCCTGCAACCCGGCCCGCAATCCCCACCTTCTGCTCTCCTCTCCTGCACTCCCGCAGTTCCCAGGACGTCAGCACAGCACCAAAATGGGATTTTTTTTATTATTACCTGCTCTCTCCCTCTCTCCATTCACTGTGAGCCGTTGGAGGACTGGACTGCACCTTGCCGGTCTTTACTGAATGAATGCATGAATCTATCTATCTATCTGTAAAAGCAGAGCCCAAAACATTAAATATAGATGCGTGTTAACCACGTAAAGTGCCCACCGAAGCCTTTAAAAAAAAAGGTCCAAGGGCAATAAACCACTTTTTAAATTGGCTGCTAGGTGCTCTGCCAATGAATAATGTATACATGTTACAAAAACTTAACCACAGTTTGAACCCCTATGAGACTGAGAAGTCAGAAAGGAAGCCGCCCTCCGCTCTGAAAATCAAACAGAGCTTAGGGCTCGTCCTCACATGAGGCCAGCCTAGGAACGGTGTCTCCCCCACACGACACAGCCCCGCTGGGCGGTTACTTACTGGAGTTGAGCAGGATCATGGCCTTGACACACAGATATTCTTTGTGCTGGAGTTTTAGCTCACGGAACCTTGAAGTTGTTGCCAGGAGCATGTCAAAGATTTCCAGAATTCCTTCTACGCATTTCCCCTCATCCCTACAAAAGTTCATTTGGAAATTTAAGGAACACAACGCTTCCGAGTCAAAAGCAACGAGGAGCATTTTTTTCTTCAGTCTCAAATCTCACCTTGCACATCCTTTGACTACGATGGATTAATAAGGCCACAGCTGACAATAAAAGTTACGAGAACCACCTTCATCTACAAAAGCTCAGGTGGGCTGGGGGCACAGCTCAGCAGCAGAGCACTCACCTCGCACGTCCAATCCCCAGCATTACAATAGGTAAAAATAAATCAAAATTAAAAAGGCACTTCTTATAAATTCTTGGCATAAACATTCAGATCAATACGTAGGCAAAAGTCTATCTCAGAGCTGTATTTTTCCTTCCACCTCCTCACTAAATGTTTTCTCAAAGGAATGTCACTGCTGCTGATTATTTTCAATCTAAAGTACTCCAGCCCTAGCTGGATACAACCCATGCTAGTAAAGTGAGCAGTCCATGTTCCCCCAAGAAGGGTTAAGGTGGAATTCTGAGCATCACAGAAGCAAACACCCCAAGAATAAGCCTTCCTGTCTAGGGCTGCACTCTCACTTTCTGGTGGTCACGTAGCAACGACGAGATAACTAAATGTAATTTGAAATAAGTGACTGCAACACAGAAAGAAATCACAAGTGAAGATGGGTTAGTCAGGAAAAGGTAGACACAGGGACCTGAAAACTTTTGATTTGCTGAAGATATTCTTTTTCTTTTTTTAACATGGGCCCTTGCTACGGTGGCCCAAGCTGGTCTTGAACTCCTAGGATCAGGCAATCCTCCTGCCTCAGCTTCCCACTACAGCCACATGCCTCCACATCCAGCTTGAAAACTTTTATTTTTAGGCAAACATTTTAGACAAAACTTTGAAATGTATAATCAAAGTTCTTTTGAGCATTCCTTACAGAAGTGAATTTTTAAGTATACTTTTGAAGTAAATTCTTTTACTTTCTCTAAAAAATGCTCGCTTTTATTCACTCTAGACAGACACACATTATTCCACCTCACTGCCCTCACTGCCCTCACTGCCTTATCATTGGTTAAAGTCATCGGAGGTCCCTGACAAGAGGCTGGAGATTCTGCCACAAAACCTTCACTGCTTCTGAAAACCTGCAGCACAGAGCAAAGGGCACTCCTAGCGGCAGGGGGTTTCTTGGATCTTGTTTTTGGTCTCTAGTTGCCCCTAAAGGGAGTGTGAGGTCTCCAAGGAACAAGCTGCTCCTCTCCCCTTTCTGCGACCCCTATCCAGAACCTTCCCAGTGACCACGGATTTGGGGGACAGTCTTGCCGAATTCAGATGAACTGACGCTGCTGGGCACCAACAGTTTTGGGGAGCTCTCTCCCCCTAGGTGCTCAGCTAGGATGGCAGCTCCTCAGGATCCTGTGCTCCACAGCCCCACAGACTCACCTCTACAGGGCTGCAAACATGAAAATTCCTTGCTTTGGCAAATCAGCACAGTAGCGTCTGCAAACAAATGCAGCTTTCTGAAGGCATACAGATTAACTGACAAAACACCGGGGACCCTAGTCAGGGGGAAGAGTCTTGGAGGATAAGAGCCCTGCGGAAAGAGTGCCGAAGTCTATAGGAAACCCCAGCCCTCTCCACGTCCCATCTTCCCGCATCCCCTGACCACTTCCTCAGCCCTGGGCTTCAGTAAGGAGGACACCGGCCCTGCATATACACAGCAGGTACACAGGAAACACCTGTTCACTGACTGCCCCTCATGCTGCCAGGTCTAATCTCTCTAATTAATTGGGGACAATTAATTATTAGAAAGTGTAACTGCTGAGCTTGAGAGCATATGGTACTAAGAAGAGCTGATTGTGAAATATCACTTAGGGACAAAAACAAACCCCCACCAACCCCTGTACTGATGGTTTGATAGTTTGACTCCTAGCCCTTCTGCAGGACTCAAAGTCAGAGGTGGGATCATGGATATTTGCATACACACAACACGCACACACCTCCCTGGGTAGGACAGCAAGGAGAGGCATCTGAGATCAACCCTACTTTCCAGAAATTACCGCCTATGCCAAGAATAGTCCCTACATACTGAGATCAGTGCCATTTCCTCATTAAATAAGTGCCGCTTGAAATAAAAGTTCCTAGTTCAAAAGTGGAGACAGTGTTTACTGGACCATCTGAAGCCCTGCTGAATTTATAGTAATCAGCACGTGTACCTCATAAAAAAAAGTGAACTAAACCAGGGATGGCAAAACTTTTAGAGACCAAGCACCCAAACTGCAACCTAAAACCCACTTATTTATTGCAAAGTGTGAACACTGCAGTTAAACCTAAATACTAATGTTTTAGTTTAGAAAAACAACTGCTGTCTGATGCTCAACTGCAGGGGTGACTTCGCTCCCTGCCGACAGAGGGATCGGTGTGCCCACTGAGGCACGCGTGCCATGGGTTGGCCACACAATCTACCCTTGACCTTAGCCAAGAAATGATCGCCGCCACAATCTACACCTATCTGAAGATGCAGGTCTGACTGCTTTCTTTAGCAGGTGTGACAGACGACCTCTGCCTTCAAGGTGTGGCAAGATTAGAATATTTTATTAACTTTATAGGCTGTGGAAAGCAAATACATTTTTAAAAAACAGTTGATAAATACGGGGTCACTAAAGTACAGTACCTCATAAATGGCAGTCTAATAAAGCTCTACTTTAAGAATTTATAAAGAACAAAGGGAAGAGGGACCTTAAAATGGAAGGAAATCTATCTCATTCATAGTTATAGATTGAAAATGAGTTATAAGAAAGAAATTAGGACAGAAGTAAAAGATTTGAATTAAAGACAGAATATACAATTTCAATGTTAAAATATTGCAACAATATGCCAATCAAACTAGCCTGCTTGTGAAAATACACTTTCTGTATACCATCTGTCCATAATCCAGTACAAATAAAAAATAAAATTGTAATTATCTGTGGAATATCTTAATACTTAATAATCTTTCTTTTATTAAAAAATAAAAAAGTATCCTGGGACTGGGGATTTAGCTCAGCGGCACCACACCTGCCTTGCAAACACAAGGTCCTGAGTTTGATCCCCAGTGCCAAAAAAAAAAAAAAAAAGTCACCTGTTTGGCAGAATAATAACACATGGAATGAGTGGGCCCTATTTTGGGGTACACTATTTTGTACCTACATATATATTTGCTGTGTGTATGGCAGGTGGATAACGGTAAGGGGACTCACAGAAAAGGACTTAATATTGAACTGATGTGAAATTACTTAGAGACAAAATTTAGAAATGAAAATTCTAAAACCTACCTTGAAGAAAACTAAACAAGTGGATGCAAATCTATGTGCAAACTCAGCACATTCACAATCCTTTGCTGTCAAGGAACTCTTGTAAACGTCCACAATAGGGTTCAGGCCCTGGTCCAAACTTCCTCTAACAATGTAGTAACATTTAGCAGTAGACAACTTCCTGACACAAAAATGTCTTAATATATAAGATTTTGGGTGTGTGGGGGGCGCTTAGGCTGAACTCAGAGCTTCCTGCGTGCTAGGCAAGCACTCTAACAGGACAGGGTCTGTGCTAAGTTACAAAGGTGAGCATGCTAGCCTTGAACTTGTTATCCTCCTGCTTCAACCTCCTGAGTAGCTGGGATTTCAGGCATGAGTCACTGCCCAGTTGTTTATGCTTTTGTTTTCCAATACTGAGGACTGAACCCAGGGCCTTTGCACTGAGCTACATCCCTAGCCTCTCATTTTCTTTTTTATTTTGAGACAGGGTCTCACTAAGTCACTGTGTTGCCCAGACTTGGCTCAAACTCATGACTGTTCTGCTGCACAGCCTCCCAGAGTGCTGGGATTATAGGTGCGCTATCATACCCAGTTAAGATTTTTTAAGTAAAAGTTCAGGTTCTATGAAAATCTTCATATCAATTTATGATTCTAGAAGAACTAGCTTGTTAGAAATAAGCTGAAGTAATTGTATTTCCTTCTCATCTTCAGGAGAAGCCTCAAGAAGAATAATGGAGTCAGGCATGGTGGTGCAGCCTGTAATCTCAGCACTCCAGAGGCTGAGGCAGGAGGATTGCCACAAGTTCAGGCCTAGGCTATGAAATAAGTTCAAGGCCAGTCTGAACTACATAGTGAGACCCTGTTTCAAACAAAAAAAAGAATAATGGGAAATAGAATTTGTCCTCTCATTGCCCACTAATGTGCTAACTTAGTTAAATTCATTGCTTTTATGATCATAATACCATATAAAGGAATTCTAGTAGGACAATCCAGCAAAAAACAGTTATTTTTAAGTAGTATGATTGTTTACTTTATAAAAAAATTATAATAGAACCTCTTATGGAATAAGCAACTCCTCCAGAAACACACTGATTACACACAAAATTTCTATTTATCTATATAAGACACATTAAGTAAATTACCTTAGATCTGAAACTCTAGACTTCACAAAATTAATATTCTAACAATGCTACGAAGAAAGCAACAAAAAATAAATACCAGTGGGCACTCCAAAAGAAAAAAAAAAAAGCCCGTTGTTGTCAGGTGGTGTGGTATGCACCTGTAGTCCCAGCACTGAGGAGGATGAGAAAGGAGGATCGGCCAAATTCAAGCCAGCCTGGACTACACAGTGGGAGGAACATAAGAATCAAAAGGAACATAATAATCAAAACCACAGCAAAACAAACTGCCTGCCCAACGTAAATTCATTTACAAAACTCTTCTATATTCAGTGAAATATACTCAATTTATATGTTATAAGCCATAAAAGTTTCAAATATTTATAAAGCAATGTGAATCTATTAAAAGCCTTTTTCTCCTATTACCTAAAAGGGAGGCATACCAGGATCATCCAGGATTGGTGTCCATTTGTAGTAACTTAAACACATACCCTAAATTAAGGAACCCATACAGAGAAAGGGAAGAGTCAATAATAATGAAAACCAGAAGTGAAAGTCACTGAAAATAAGCACTGTTTGGCATTCACTTGGAAATTAAGAAAAAGTAACTTAACTTCAATATCTGCAAACTCATTGGCTCATCAAGAGACAACATCTTTCTAGCACGGACTTCTAGAAGAATCAGATGTGTACAGTTATGATACACGTGTGCGTGTGAGGGAGTGTGCGGCTCATTTACATGTCAAGTGGAACGAGCGAGTGAGCGAATGAAGGTGACAGCTTGCCTTGCAACACGGTACCCTGAGACGACAGCGGAACAGCAGGCTTTTGAAGCGGGCAGAAACAGAACAGAGCTGCTCTAAGACAGTAAGAGTAGAAAGTTGGTTTACCCTTCAGCACCCTCTTTCCCCTCCAGTCCTCCGTCCTGCTGAGAGGCGGTGTGCTGTTGGCATGAAGAGTGTGTGGGGACTTCAGCTGGGGTATGGTAGTCTCACCTACCGTAATCCTAGCTCGTGGGGCGGGTGGGGTGGCTGAAGCAGGAGGATCACAAGTTCAAGGCCAGCCTGGGTGACTTGGCGAACTCCTGACTCAAGATTTTCAGTAAAGCGGGGATGCAACTCAGGGCCATACACAAGGCCCTAGGTTCAATCTCTAGCATCAAGGAAAAGGAAAGCATAGACCTCACAGCCATCTCCCGAACTGCAGCCCCACCACTGGCTACTCTGTTATTGTAGGTCAGTCACCTAACTTCCGAGTTTCCATATCGGAAGAACAGGGACGATAGAAGCGCTTACCCAAAATGCATGTTGTGAAGATTAAATGGGTCAACAAGTGCAAATGCTTAGACGGTGCCTGGTGCACACAGCCAGTAAGTTAGCCATTCTGCTGGGTACTTAGGGTCTCAGGCCCCACCCCGCCCTGGGCTCCCAGAGCGTCCCTCTTTGGTCCACCACCTTGGCTTGCTCCTGCTCAAACCACATCCCACGCTTCTGCTGTTCCTCTGTTCTCCACCAAAACACCTCCATTACTCAGAACAGTGCTCTTTCTCAGGGCCATCCAAGACAACAGGCAGAATGGGTGCTGATACCTTGAGGCATCGCTCTTCATCTGCATGCCATGCGAATGAGGGTCTTCTGAGGACCTAAAGTGGTAACAGGATTACGATGCAAGAGTTGGGGCAGGCACTCTGGGCTCACAGCACCCGGCATCCTCCTTACTCTGTGCAGAGTCAGCTGCGGCTCAACATTCGACACCAGTACTGTTTCAATATAAGGGGAAGTGGAAATCACTTTCCACAGAGATTCCCAAACTGCTCAGCTATACACCAAGAATGTTTTATTTTTCTTGCAAAAAAGGCTTGAATGTTGCTACATATTCCAGTTTCCCTGCTAGAACCAGTCTGACTAAGTCAATTAAAAATTTGTTCCTTCTCTGTGCTATTGCTCAAAGAAAATTAAATGAACCAAGTTACCATAGTAGCAGTGTCATGTCTTAATTCCTGTTGACTTCACCTGGCTTTAATGACTCTTCCTTCCAACATTATTTCAAAAAATGCTGTTACTACACTTGATCTTAGCCAAAAGGCCGAGAAGTGATTTTTTAAAAAATGCTGTTACTAATACACGCATTAGAGTGAATTAAAACACATGAAAATAAATTTGGCAGATTCCTAAGAATTCTGTCACCTGTCCAGATAGTTGGTGATACCACGGGTCGCCACAGGCAGAATAAAATAGCAGGACAACTTAAGATTATAACGGAAGTGGAATTTTCAATGCAGAAAACTCTAGGTTGACTATGTACTTAGTGACCACAGACCCCGGGCGACATAATCCCTCTCTGCGGCCCCAGCCTGTGTGCGCTGCTGCACCATAGGTTAGAAGGGATCACAGGATGCTGAGTCCTTGTGTTCCTGCTCTTTTCTTCTCAGGTTCCTGACCCAGGGAAGGAGCTGAGGACATCACTACCCTCTAGTCGCCCTTTTGGATGTGAGATTTTCATTGCTGCCTCCACAACTCTTTTCTCACTAAGTGCTTCACTCAAACAAGTCACAGAAGAAGCGTACTGAATTTTTTTTCTCACCTGTCCAGAACGAGGTCTGGAGCAAAGATGAGCTTGCCGGGGTGGTCGATTGAGCGCCACATCAGCCCCACCATCAACACCTCCATCCAGCAGCTCTCCAAGAGCCGCACTTGGTCCAACAGGCTGAGCTCCACAAATCCTGGGGAAAGCGAGAGGCCATGAGACACACCCACCCTCCTCCTCCACAACCCACTTCTGTACAGACAGAATGGCAAGTTTAGGGGTGTCTGGACTTAAAACATACAACTTGAAGTTTCCAGTCCTGAACTCCTAGATACAAACTTTATTTTGTCTGTACAAAGAATGATTACCTGGGCTCCTTCAGCTCCCCAGGAAGATGCTAGGACAGAAAGCCAGAACGGAACCTGTGCACTATTGAAAATGATAAAGGTCAGCTGCCAGTCAGAGGGGCAGCCTGACTGATCCAACCCACGATTGGGAAATGGGCCAGGTGGACGGGGGAGGTGGAAGTTGGGGGTAGAGAGAGCAGCACCAGACCCTGCAGAAAGTCAAGGTTTCAACTAAAGAATTTCTTAAAAATTTCCTGCCCAGGTGAGGGTCACTCTTCTGGGGAGGAGCATTGTCCCCAGGTGATTGCAGCCTACAGAGCAAATGTCACAGCCAAAGCAACTTCTGATAACCCAACAGCATGCACTGGACAAAGAACTGGAATGAGACAGGCAGTCTCTAAGAAAGTCGGCAGCATTTTCATTTTGGCCCAGTGTGGTGACTCACAACTGTAATCCCAGCATGTGAGAGGCTAGGGCACCAGCATCACGTTGAGGCCAACCTGGGCCACACAGTCACAGTTGAAGGCCAGCCTGAACTACAAAGCAAGACCCTGGCTCAAAAAATAAACAAAAAGATGAGCATTTTTAAAGCAAAGCAGAGAACTCTGGAGATTCTTCTGTAAGTCATAATGGGGCAGAGGGACAGTGTACATTACAGTAGTCAAAGGCACAGCCTTGCAGGGAAATCCAGTTTGAATGTCAGCTGTACCCTTTACTAGTATGCTTTTTACACACACACACACACACACACACACACACGGCCCTTTCATCTCCTTTTATATCTGGGTTTTGTTTTAGTCTCGCCTTCTCTGAGGATTTCCCACAGGTAGAATCTCTTACTATGCTCACTTTACCAACGAGGAGACTATGGCAGAGACCACACATGGTTCGAGCCTTTGAACAGCTACACTACAAATCCGCACAAAGGAGAATTTAATGGAGTAATGACCAGAAGTTGGACCAATCCTTCCCAAAGATCTTATCCTCAGACTCATCATCTAGTTCAGGTCCCTAATGTGTACAACATTCCTGTCTCATCCATAGTCACATACAGTAATCCTACCCGAGAGGTCAAGCTCTATTAGTCTTATATTCAAAACTAGACAATATTTTAGTACTGCTTTCGTCTGGACAATGGCTAAGTCAGCCAGGGTGGGATGTGTCACGCCTTAAGACTATGCCTAAATTTTCTGTAAAACTTTCAAAACACCAGGCTTGAAAGGGCCTAGTGCAGCTTCAACATTCCATTCTATTCAATCAGAAAGAAGCTGCATAGCTCTCAGTGATAATTCATTTCACTACCACTCTGCATGTGGGGTCCCGCAAAATCGCGATTGGAACACATTTAAAGCAAAAACCAGAGCAAGTACATCAGTGTTTTCTCCTCTGGGAAGCAGCAGAGAAATAAAAGAATTCTGACAAAGGTGAAGCTGCTAGACAAAACAAAACTGGAAACAAGAAAAGCCTCAGCAAGCTCAGGAGGAACAGACCTGGGCCAACAAACGACCGAAGCAATGCTACCACCCAGGGCCACAGCTCCTCGTCCAGCTTCTCACCAACCCAATCTTTAGCCTCCCAGTTAATGGCGGTGCCCTGCAGGTCACGGAAATACTTTCTGGCTGAGAGCCTAGAGAGAGACCGCATTTCTTAGATGACTACTGTCCTTCTAGGTTAGTATTCTGGGATCACTCTTCCCATAGAAACTCCAGTTCAAATGACGGCCGGTCATTTTAGCACAATATAGTACTTTAGGTACAGATATTCCTCAACTTACAGGAGGATAACAAAAAGATAAGCTGAAAGTAAGTTGAAAATACCATAAGCAAAAAATGCATGTAAAGCTAGGCACAGTGTTAATGCCTGCAGTCCAGTTGCTGGAGAGGATGAAGCAGGAGGATCAGTTGAGCCCAGAAATTTGAGGCCAGCCTGGCCAATAGAGTGAGACCCTATCTCAAGAAAACGAAGTTAACAAACCTAACCTACCTCATGTCATAGCTTAGTCTAACCCACTTTGCATATGCTCAGGACACTCAGCATATAGTTGGGAAAAGCCATCTAGCACAAATCCTGTTTCACAACAAAGTGTCGATCAGCTCGTGTTGTTTATGGAATACTTTACTGAAGGAGAAAAACAGAAGCCTTTATCTTACACTTACAAACCAAGACATCAAACTGTTAACTAATCTAGACAAAGTTCATGGATGTCCACTTCGTACTCTGGCCCCACCAATGGTAGGGCAGGCCTTCCTACAAGTCAGTGGAATGCTAAGAGCCCAAGAGCCCTACCGGGAATTTTCTTGGCCCAGCCGATCATGTGCACCAACTCCTTGTCAGCCAGCTTGGTGAGGGACATCATCATGGAGGCCTCCGTGAAGGGCGCGCTGGGCCGGCTCACCAGCACGTTGGGCGGCTCCGCCTCCAGCAGAGTGAGCACCAACTGCTCAGGACTCAGCGCACTCAGCAGCAGCTCCTTGGCTCGGGGCATGTGGCCACTGTGCTTCTTGGCCTTGCTCAGGCAGTGCAGCTGCTCCCCAGGACTTCTCTGTCTTCTAACTGCTCGGTACCCACACCTTTCTCTCCGGGAGCCTACAGGGAAGAGCAGAGGAGGAAACAGTCCTTCCCCGGCCCAGACTCCAGTCCCCGGGTGGCCAGGACAAAAGACGCAGGCATGATCCCATCTATAGTGACATCTCACAGGCCGAGTGCATTCTCAGGGCATCTCTGGGAACAGAAGCTCCAATTTTATTTTCTGTGCAGCATGGTCCAAAAATTATTACAGTTATGACAGTATGGCAACATCAACAAAATAACATTTTAAGAATTTGGGGGGGACGATCTCCTCTTCAAAGTCATGTATAGACTTTAAAACCATTTCTCTCTCTCTCTCTCTCTCTCTTTGTTTTGGTACCAGGGATCAAACTTGTGTCCTTGTGCTTGCAAGGAATGCGGCAGAACCACTGAGCTAAATCCTCAGCCCTAGACTTTAAAATCATTTCTCTTAAAGACTGACAACATGCTTCAGTTTCTAAACTGTGAAATTCAGAATTATCTTCAGATAGAAAATAGGGAAAAATTAAAGGACTCCAACACTGACATTTCCAGATAGTTATCAAATAATATTTTTATAATATGTTCTTAAATGCTTACATGAATACATAAACACACATATATGTATTCTTTTCATATAAAGTTCTCATATAAACAAGTATACATCAATCCAAAATAAATAAATCAATCCAAAATATCTAGAAAATATAGAAAAGAATGAATTTTAGCACAAATTCTTTTAGTCTTTTTTATACTTTTTCCATATTTTTATACTTTGAGGTTTTATACTTTTCCATATTTTATAAACATAATTAGAATTGTGACACAGTATATAAACTATTTCATAATTCGCTTCTCTTTTAAAAATATATCACTCTAAAAAATTTTTTAAATAAAAATATATCGCTCTGATAATTTAAAAATTTATAGCATCCTGCTCTAGTAGAGCATCATCGATTTAGAATCCTCCATTGATTTAAATCTATAGTTTCTTTACAAGTTTATTATGAAAATAATTTCCAATAACTGCACATGTATTCAATAACTTCCTCATAATAAATTCAGAGATCAAATTATTGAAACCAAGACACACATTTAAATTTTCAATAAACACTGACAGATTACCCACCAAAAGTAGTATTTTAAAACTTACCCCTGGGCATTGAAAATCAAAATCAACCTCAGTCTCACCTCTCTCCTTCCTTTCCTGAGAGATTGAATCCAAGGCCTCACAAATCCTTGGCAAGTGCTCTACAGCCCCAGCCCTAAAAAGTCATTCTTAACCTTTGCTAATCTTAGGAGTGACTGAATAGTCTTATTTTTGCATCTTTAAAATTCCTAGTAGGGGCCGGGAATTTAGCTCAGCGGCTCGGTGGCCTGCCTTGCAAGCACAAGGACCCGAGTTCGATCCCCGGTACCAAAAAAAAAAATTCCTAGTAACACTAACCAATATTTGACTTTTGTATTTCTTTATTTATGCATTGCCCACTGGCTTATTTCACTCCTTTTTCCCCCCTTAAAACCTATAAAGGTTCTTTATATAGTAATAACATAATGTTTGTGATATTTGTCTTGTTACATGGCTTTTGACTTTCCTGTGCTATTTTTGTCATAAGAAACTTTAACAGTCAAATCTGTCTGTTTCACATCAAGTTCATACATTATTCTTTATCTTCATAAATATTGTGTGGCTCAAATCTATTTAGAATTTTATGCATATTTATATTATATGTTATTGATATTTTGCATTGTATTCTCCAACGTACAATTTCCCCAATACTAGTTACTGAAAAAGTTTCCCCCACTGATTAAAAATGCCTTATCATTAATAACTTCATACATAAAAGCGTCTTTTTCCAGATTCTACATTGTTTTATAGATCTATTTTTCTGTTCCTATGCCAGTACCAAAATGCTTTTGCTACTGTAGGCTCAGAGCAGAACATAATGGGACAGAGTCTTCAGATAATGACGGAAAAAAAAAAAAAACCTCAATTTTGAGTTATATTCCCAGATCTATTATCCAAATGTGGGAATTAAGGATATTTTCCATTAAACAAAGACTGAGTGTGGCCTTTAGGATGGAGAAAAATGAACCCAAAAGAAACACTGATGGCCAAGAAGAAAATATAAAATTAAATTTTAAAAAAACGAAAGAACAAAATGATAATACTAGTTAGACTTGGAGATAAAGAAGCAAAATAGAAGTTCCATCCCTGGTACAAAAAGAAAAGAAAAAGAGACAAAGTAGAACACAAATACCAGATAATAACATGTAAACTGAGACAGGGATGATTTTGGTTAGACCTTTCTAGGTTGCTTTATTTGGTAAGAAAGAGGATTAAATTTTCAAATTAATCAAGAATGCACATTAAAAATAAAAACGTTGGGGCCAGGGATTTAGCTCAGTGGTTCCACTTCCTGCCTCTCAAGTGCAAGGTCCCGGGTTCAATCCCCGGCACCAAAGTAAATAAATAAATAAGTCATTAAAGGAAAAATGTATGCCTTCCAAACTAGCAATAAAGGAAAAAGAAGCACACAAAACTGTGATAAGCTCCTTCAAGGAAAAAAAAAATAGAAATATGTGATAAATTAATTCATTCATCTATTTAGAGACAGGGTCTGGATCTATAGTCCATACTGGTCTTGAACTAACTATGTAGCCCAAGCTGGACTTGAACTTGCAATCCTCCTGCCTCAGACTCTTGAGTGCTGAGATTTCAGAAATACACCACTATGCCTGGCCATGATAAAATTTATTAAAACACAAAGTAAGAAAATAGAAAATGAACACAAATAATGATAATAAACAAAAGACAAAATTCATTTAAGGCCAGCCTGGGCTACATACAGTAGAGAGTTCATAGCCAGACTATATTGCAAAGTGAAACCCTACCTCAAAAAAAAAAAAAGAAAAAGACTGACAGATCATTTTCTGTGACAATAAAATGGGAACAATAAAAATATAATTTCTATTCCCTTACAAATTTAAGCACAAAAATATTTTACTCATTGACTAAAAGATTAAAATGTAAAATGAAAGTTTAAAAAAATATCATGTCAGGATATCTATCCTTAGCATGTGCATAAATTTTATATTAATTTTCCCTAAAAAAAACTCCAAAAGTAAAAATCCACAATATGCCTAGTGTTTATGCCTCTACCATTGTTTGTTCACTAAATATAACTGTCTACCTTTTTAATAAAGAAATATTAGTTAAGGGCCAGGAGTGTTCGCACATGCCTGTAATCCCAGCACTTGGGAGGCTGAGGCAGGAGGACTGCTGTGAGTTCGAGAGCAGCCTGGGTTACATAGTGAGCTCCAGGTCAGTCTCACCTACATAGTGCAACCGTCTCCAAAAAAAAAAAAGAAACATTAGCTAAGGGCTGGGGATTCAGCTCAGTGGTTCTACCATGTGCCTCGCAAGCGCAAGGACCCGAGTTCAATCCCCAGTACCAAAAAGAAAGAAAGAAAGAAAGAAATATTAGCTAAAAGATATAAGAACATTTACATTTTTCCACTTTATTTTATTTCATTAGTACATGTTTATAAGTCACCCAGTTTACAATCACCTTGAGGAGTGATCACATGTACATATTACAGCTTGTTTTTTTTTTTTTCTTGTTTTTTTTTTAACTCTCTTCTCCTTTCCTACCTTTCCTCCCCCTCCTCTGGTTCCTCAATCACCTCTTTCATACCTGTTGATACTATTTGTTTTAGTTCATGTTATGACTTATCATGATTACACTGACTGGGTTTCTTAGGGTCCTGAATATAGCATATCTTTATTCCTATCATTCCCCTCCTCCCCAAAATTTAAATGATTAACTCCTAAGAAATTTCATCAGAATTTCCTTTTAACCTTGGCTAATTATAGTACAAGGATAGGATCTATCTATTCAGGGACACTTTGAACAAATATATTTCTGGAAGAATCAAGAACTTACCCGTGCTGGTGAACCTAGCCAAGCGCACTGCGGCAGGTTGTTGTGTCACTCAAAGCTCTAAAAGGCTCTCCATTACTGGCTTAGACTATATTTCATTTTATTAATAAGCAAAGTGCCACAGATGTTTCACATCAATTATACTCCCCCAGGTAAAATGGAGCAAAATGCATGGTTTAAGAAAGCAGTTTTCTGATCACACATTTCTCTTTGTATCGTGTATGGGGAAAAGGAGTTTAAAAAACAAATAGACACTCAAGGTGAGTGATTTTGAATCCACATATTTAAATTTATTTGAACAACTTTAATGACAGAGTCTCATGTCCCAGGTCTTGTAGTGAGGGAGTTCTGGAGATTCTAGGATCAAACTAGAGAAGCCCTTGATAACTCCTATTTTTCTACCAAGGACATTTCTATGTTGTGGCTTTGATGCTGCAATCTACGCACCTCTGAGTGACAGTTTAATGAGACTCACTACCAAATAGAGGTGATCCAATCAGACATGGGGAAATAGCTCCAGCCAAAAGGCGATGGCCATGCTGGTGGTGCTCAATGATGGTCGTGGCAGCTACCACCACCTGGAAACGTCCACACACCAGGCACTGCAGATCACCCATCTCACGCCCACAGCCGCCCCAGACGACAGGTGCTAGTCCCATCTCCAACACACAGAGGAGGGGACCAGACATCAGAGCACAAATGCACTGTCCAAGGTAGGAAGTTAGAAAACAGTAGAGGCAGGACCTAACCCAAACGGAAGGCTGAATCCAGAGTTCCATGCTCTACTGACTGAGCTAGCCGGGCCAGAGCTCATGCTTTTAATCATATTTTATACCGTCTAGTCATCAAGTCCCTCTCCTGGAATTATGCAGAGCAGGAAAATAAAGAAGTGGATGCGGAGGTACCATCCCAATACAGGGACACAGACCAAACACGTGGCTGGCTGGTCCAACTGTTTTCTTGGCTATGCACATTGCAGTTTCTTTATAAGGCCCACCTACCATTTAAACAACCACATAGTACTTCAATGGAAAAGACAAGATGGGAAATACAGAAGAAGAAGTAAGAGAAGAGATGTGATTTTTTAATAAAGAGGGATATAGACGGTGCAGAGAGTCTAGAATACAGGCAAGATCCTTAACACTCCGAAACCAAATGGAAGGAAGGATGTGGTTAGAAGGTTCTAGGGCACGGTAGAGGAAGAGAGGAGAGTGCCCAGAAGGGGAGACAGTTAAAATCTAATGGTCTTTCTCTGTGGTCAGCAAAGGGCTAAATACTCCACTGTATGTGAATCAACTTATACCCTATCTTCTGTAATCTCCAAGGAGAATATAATCTTTCTCCTGAGAGATCCTACTCAGTGATTTTGGCAAAACACAACCCTTTTCTCTAGTTCCCTTTCCCTTAGAGATTCTTTACTCTCTCTTCTCTTGTGAAACTGCATTTTATCAGAATCATCTCATGTGAGCTCTGTCATGAGGGAGAGAGAAAGAAAGGAAACTAAGATGGAGAAAAGGACACTGTGCCTGGACTTCAATGTGTCTCCATACTTATTCCTCATAAAGACCAATGGAGCAGATATCTGTTTCCAATATAAGAAAAACAAGAGCCAGAGAGCTTCAGTAGTTTGATTACAGTCACACCTAGCAAAAAGTGAAGAACAAAAATGAGATGCTTCTACAAAAATCCAACTCTCAGGACCTTCGTACTATGAGTGCTGCCTTACGAGGCTCACAGCTGTCCGAGTAGTATAATAAATGCTCCCTCACCCTCACACAAAACTGGGTATCATTTTTCACAAACATATACACATACTCATCTTACGTCGTTTCACTAAGGAGCCCTTATTTATAAGACTTTCTATTTAAACATCTCTGACAATTAGACAAGTCACATGTCTATGTAAACTCCATCTATGATAGGCTATCTCTGGATTTCTAGCTTTAGCTTCTTTAAAACAGAGTAACGGCCTAGGTACTTCTAGAGCAATGTGAATTGCGAACCTTCCTAGGTTTATAATTTCCCCCTCAATCTCACCCGCACCTTACTCAATACCTCTTAGTCCTTTACAGTTTTATTCAAAATTTTCAACTAAGCGTTCATGGAAACAGCTGTATTTCATGTGTTTACAGAAATTCAAATTAAATCATATAATGTAATTATATAATTAGAAAAAGGTTTGGGGAAAACCCCACTGGATTCTGTGAAGGATTTGAGTGGTGAGGGCAGAAATATTAGAGCTTTAGAGAATAACCAATGCACACTGCAAGGTTATGGGCATTGGCAGTGTGTCCGTCAGCCTCTGTCACTGTACCAAATACCTGAGACAATTACCTTATAATTGGCTCAGTTTTGGAGGTTACAGTCCACGACCAGGCAAATTCATTCTTTTCAGGCTCTGTGGGAGTACCTAGGTCAGGAAACACATGGGCAGGGAGCAATACTGCTCACCTCATGGCAGAGAAGTAAAAAAGAGAGAAAAAGCAAGGTTCTAAAATCCCCTTCTGAAGTCACAGCCCCAATGACCTAAAGATCTCCCATTCAGTCCCACATCCTAACGCTCCAACATCCCAATAGCACCACAAAATTAGGCTTTTACCTCCCGACCTTTGGGGAACACTTAAAATACCAACTATAACAAGCAGGGTGTTTCACAGAGAAAAGGAAAATGGCAGTGACTCTAGCAGAGCCAGAAGATGATCAAATTAAGTGGACTTCAGCTGGACTTCTGAATTAGGTGAAAGTTCCAGTCTATCCTACACTTAGAGAAAAAGGATTAGATGATGCTCAAAAGGCAGAGCTACTAAGTGATGGTAAAGGAGAAAAAAAGTGTGTGAATTTTTTCAAATAGTTACAAAGAGAGAAGTCACAACTAATCATAGACAAAATATTGGCTAGCAGAAGAAAAGCACAGGCAGAGGTGATGTGAATATGTATAAATAAACAAGCGTGTAGTTGACAAATCAAAAGCCAGCCAAGTAGAGAAAGCAGGGCATGGGTACCTTTGTCAATGCTTATACTAAAGCATCCGTGTTTTATTTTTTATCATGTATGCTTATCTATAAAATACATTATACGTCATATACACATGAATGTGACGCAGCTGTACACTGTCCTAGAACAGAATCGATGCTGTGTGTACTTTTCATACTTCTATCGTGTTTCTGACTCATATTTAAATAAATATTTTTCACTTATAGAAAGCTAGTACAGGAATAGGCATCAGTCTTCCCCACAGCTCCCCAAACAACCTGGAAGCTATTCTACTTTCTAATCACCAGCTTTCGCTGCGGACATTTACACCATGGGACAGGACTTCATCTTGGATGGGACTTCTCTAGGTCCCAGGCAGATGGCTGTCCCCTGGTCTGTGGCTAGACAACTTGAACTGTAGGAAATCCTTACCCACACTGGGCCAGAGTCTGCCTCCAGCCGCTCCCTCACACCCACCTCAACTCTGTCATCTACAGCTGCCCGACAAGTCAACGCAGTGTGAGGGCAAACACTTACTGACGACGACCACACCCTCAGTCTCCTCTCCCCCGGTTAGAGGTCCCCAGTGGCTCAGAAGATACGACTTTCAGCATGGCCTCACACAATAAACGAAGCGAACTCACCACACTTCACCATTCCTACTTCATAGCACTTTCGCAGTCGGCAGGCCTGGCAGCTTTTACGCCGGTTCTTATCTATGGTACACTGATTTGTAGCAGGACAAATATAATCATTATGTCCTATAGCAGAGCAAAACAAAAGCAAAACAGGGGGAGGCTATTGTTAGAATATTTTGGTTAAAGCTCTTCCAGCTCAATGACACTGATAACAGTACCTAGCTGAGAGACACAGGTAACAAATGCCAAAGTTAACCATGATGCTGAGTCAAGGGGACCCAGGAATAGTCAAACATGCTATTTTCTGGCTAACGTGCTCCTAGAGCTCTCAAGAGCTACATTCAGAAATAGTCTCAGGGGCCATGGATGCAGCTCAGTGGCACAGCGCCTGCCTGGCAAACGTGAGATCCTGAGTTTGATCTCTGGTACCAAAGGGGAAAAAAAAATGTCTCATTTAGATATAGAAACAGTCACATGAAATAAAATTGCTCTGAATCACAGAATTCCTTGAATTGTATATCATTATCAAATTCAACTGCTTATATTCTTTTACATATATTACTCTTTGAAATTTAATTCAAAATTTTAATGAGAATTCAGTCAAATAAGAGAACTAAATAAAATAATTTAAAAATTAGCAATCCATTTAAGAACAGAAAGTAGCGCTGCTTGAAAACTGTTATGGTGAATTATTATTCTCAACTCTGCACTCCACCCTCAGCCTTGTCACTGCACAGTATACAGGAATAGGGAGAGAACATTTTCCTAGTGATCATTTCCTAAGTGATGTTGGGTTTGGCCCTGAGACTTAAACCAATGACATGATAAGAATTGGATAATTGTGCCTGGCCTGGTGGTGCACACCTGTAATCCCAGTACTCGGGAGGCCGAGGCAGGAGGATCACTGTGAGTTCGAGACCAGCCTGGGCTACACAGTGAGTTCCAGGTCAGTCTTGACTACATAGTGAGACCCTGTCTCAAAAAAACAAAAACAAAAACAAACAAACAAAAAGAAATGGATAATTCTAACAGCTTGACCTATTGAACTCCCTTAAGGCAAGTGCTGACCCAAGGAGAACATGAGGACATAGAGGAGACCAGAACTCAAGCCAGGGCCAGACCCTGGTCTCACGAGGTGGAGCTACCCTAACCAACTCTCAGACCCTAAGTACAAAGACTAATGCTCACCGCGGTAGGTCATTAAGATATTGAAGTTGTTTGTTACGTATCAATCTTCAAGACAATGGTATTAATTCTTGTATGTAGTGAAGAGATAAAACTTGTATTTCCAAAATTATTATTTCAGATGCAGTATGGAGAATGGATTAGAGGCATTCTAACTGATGGAGGCTAGGAGATCAGCTGAGAACCCACTACTTTCATGCAAATGAGAGAGGCTGACTGGATTGGGTATTGGTAAGAAAGACGACGGCTAGTGGGTCTAAGAAAGGTTTAGGAAATAACAATTCTAATAGTTGGAGAATAAACTGAATAGATATTTTGGGTGTCTTTGTTTCTTACTTGTTTCTAATAAATAATATAGCTTACACTTCTTACATTAGGGGAATAACAGACCAGAATTTCAGTGTGGACGATGAATGGATCTCAAGAGCAAGTCATAAAAGAAACAGGTTAGAAAAAACACAAAAGAGAATACTCCATTTGTTTAAATATCACAAATACAGCAAATGGAGCTACCGTGTTAAGGATGCAGAGTGAAACTACAGCAAGGAAGACAGCAGAGGGGACAATCCTTCCTCTGGAGGACAAGCAGGAGCTGTGGCCAGAGGGGCACTGCAGAACCCTACAGCAGGGATGGCGAACCTCTTTAGAACCTTTAAGAGCTTTCAGTGATAACAAACAGCCCAATGCAGCACACGCCATGAGTTTGCCACAGGTTCTAATGTCACTGAGCACTGATCATGCACGTGTTTGCTTTGTATTATTCTTTAAGTTGGACATATACTGCACACAGAATTCTACATGGATGTTAGCATGGTAACATAAAAGATAATTAAAAAACTAACTCCCACTTTGTACCAGCCTTCACAAACTTTTAAATTTACATGGATCTGTCATTTGGCAAAGAAAATAGATGTGAAGTATAACAAAGCTTCCCAGGCTTCTCTTAGGCTTTTCTCCTGTTAAACCACAGCTCCTATCTTTTATTTCGAAACATAACATTTCTAGGGCAGGGTATAATGGTGCCTGCCTGTAATCCCAGCACTTCGGAGCCTGAGGCAGAAGGATCGCCGCAAGTTTGAGGCCAGCCTGGGCTACATAGTGAGACCCGGTCTCAGAGGGAGAAATAACATCTCTAATATGGCCTAATTTTCATTAAAGTATTTTGATCTACCCATTAAATTTCCCTCCCTATATTTTAATAGAATATTTGAAATACTAAACTATAGCCCCATCTCTTTATTAAAATTTTGAGACAAGATTTTGCCAAATTGCCCAGGCTGGCCTCAAACTTCTGACGCTCCTACCTCAGCATCCTGAATAGCTAGGATTACAAGTGTACACTCATGCATTTCATGAGAGTACATCTTTCCTAAAACTACAAGAGCTAGAAGGCTATCACCTACATAAGAACTATTTCTGCATGATGGAATTTGGAGATGACTTTACTGTCTCCTGCATTACATTTTCCTACATGGTCTGCATGCTTTATAGTATCGTATGTCACATTTACAGGAAAGAAGTGCTGGTTGTTGTTAGTACTCCTCCTATGAGTGAGGCGAGGTGGGTGTGGGCGCTGAAGAGGTGGGCCCGGCGCAGTGTGCAGAGGTCTCCTGTGGTGGGGGCCCCCACGGTGGGGTGTTGAGTCCCGAGTGGAGGGAAGAGTGTGTCCACTTGAAGGAGGGACAGGGGCAGCCACAGAAAAATGTTCATTATGTAGAAGTAAAAACAATGGGAACCAGGTTCCTCATATGTTAGCGAAATGAGACACAAGTATGGAAAAAGAAAAGGCTACTTTCGGCAATGAATTAAAATCAATGATGCTGGCGTCTTCACCATAGAGGTATGGAAGCATAGAAACACGTATGTGTACATGTGTAAACATATGCATATGTGTATAAAGATATTCCCTAACTCTGACCCAGAGAGGACCTAGGAGCAGGGCCATAGCAAGAGTGGTGAGAAAACTGTTAGTCAGATCTCGGTTTAGAAAGACTATTTTCAGCCAGGTGTAGTGGCACACACCCGTGATACCCGCACTTGGGAGGTTGACGCGGGAAGATCACAGCGCATTCAAGGCCAGTTTGAACTACATGACACCCTGTCTCAAAAAAAAGAAACACCATTCTCCACTAAGCAGGCTCCATGGAGAAATAGCGCATTCCAGGACTGAGGCAGGAAATGTACAAGATAAGCCTGAAACATCTTCTGCCAGCAAGTAAAACAGTGCCCAAAGAATAACAGGAAAATGTCAAAAAATAGAGCCAGATAGTTTCCACCAGCCATCTCCTACTGACATCACGTAGACATCGAATAAATAATGACACTAAAGACAGCAACCCTTTGTACAAAATAGGAAGCCATAAGTTATACTGATATAAGTTAATATACTGCAAGTCAATGAAGAATAGGATATTTACATAGCCTCAAAGGAGTTCCCAGCAAAAAGACTCATTAATTACTAAAGGGGAAAAAAGAATACTTTCACAGAAGAGGGGAGAGGCAACATCTAGGACAAATTAAAATCATGCATCACATGAACACAGCTAATGAGAAGAGCACAGTTCCGTGATATTCCTGCCAATTCTGTGTAAGCTGAGTCTAACGATAAGGAAGCATCAGACAAACCAAGAGCAAAGAACATTCTGCAAAATAACTGGCCCAAATCTTCAAAAGCATTACGATCATGACAATTTAGGAAGGACCAAGGAACAATTCTGCACAGAGAAATGCTATATGCTTTTCACTTTTTTTTTTTTTTTTTTTTTTTGGTACCAGGGATCAAACTCTGGTCCTTGTGCTTGTGAGGCAGGCAGAGGAACCACTGAGCTAAATCCCTGGCCCTATAGGAAATACATGCTAAAGTTTGTTTGTTTGTCTTTTGGGATTGTTTTGTTTTGTTTTTGAGACAGGGTCTCACTATGTAGTTGAGACAGACCTGGAACTAATCCTCATGCCTCAGCCTCCCAAGTGCTGGGATTACAGGCATGCGCCACCATACCCAGCTTACATGCTAAAGTATTTGAGGATGGTAAGAATAAAATGTTGGCAACTCTTTCTCAGATGATCACAGGAAGAAAAAGCCCGTTATATTAGCATATGCACATTTTAAGTTTGAGACTCATTAAAAATAAATCTTTCCATTGACTATCTAAACAATATTTAGAAAAACACAAGTAAATGATCAAATATAAATCAACTGAAATTTATCTGTATTTCAACTGTTTCTGTTTTAAGTCTTTTTTTTTTTTTTTTTTTTTTTTTTGGTACCAGGGATCAAACTTGAGACCTTGCATTTGTGAGGCGGGCATTGGAACAACTGGGCTAAAGCCCTGGCCCATACATTTTTTGTTTTGTTTTTTGGTACCAGGGATTGAACTTGGGACTTTGCACTTTCGAGGCAGGTGGCAGCACCACTGAGCTAAATCCCCGGCCCACTGTTTTAAGTCTTCAAATTAACTTCTTGTTTTGCAGCCCACCAGATTTTGAAGAATATTCTTTAAAAGACATGCTTTCAGGTTTGAACCATAATCAAAATGTATAATTCTAACAAGTTTAGGCAGGTTACAATAATATTTGTTCAACAACACTAACTAAAATTCAACTGTTTGTGGTTGTATCACTGTGTCCTAGCTTGAGTTGACTTGAGTGCTACATAGCAAACATATAGACGACAAGGTCTTAGGGATGGTAGGACATCTCTTCCCAGAGACACAAAAACCACTCTCTTGATGACCTTCCCCAGAACCAGGTACAAGAAGCAATGCCTGCCCAACCCAGCACACCGACACATCTGACTACCTGCCAATTTCCAGGTACTTTTCATCAACATTTCATTTAGTCATAATTTTTCAATACAGAACTATGATCCCTATTTTACAAATGAAAAAAAAAAGGCTCATTCAATAATCTCCTCAAGATTACCGTTTTAGTTTCTATGC